AAAAGGGACAGAATCTTTATATTATTCACCTTAAAGCTACCAAAATGCATCTTGCTGATTATCACAGCTTTCACTATTATGTTATGTTACAACACAGCTCATTTTCTTAAGCTTACTTTTCATAGGTTGCAAGAGTTTCATGGCCACTCACCATTCTGCTTTCTCCTTCTCTTCTTCATCCAGGTAGGAAAACTCCCTCCAGGAATCAAAGTTATACCTAAGTGACACGACGAGCAGGTCGTCAGCCGTATCCCCTGAGGGCTATAGTGCCCACTTCTCCAGGCCATGAATACATTAGCGCCTTAGTCAATGCTGTTTGCTTTTAGCACATAACAGCAGCACACAGGTTCTGTGCCCACTGCCAAAATTTTAAGTCTCCACTGCCAGTCTGCAGAGGTGACCTCCAAACACGCAGAGTCCATGGTGTCATGAGAAGAGCAGACCAACACATGCAACTGTACATAACTCACCAGAAGGAATAGAAACTATCCACCTCCTCAAAGGTTGAATCCATACTTCCTAGTTTAGGGACATGCTTTTTTGAGGTCCATCTAAAATTACAAAACCAAGAAACAGAAAGATAAGAAAGCGCGTCGGCATGGCGTGCTGTGTTGTCAGTAGCACCTCCAAATCGAAAGCTCACCTGGAGTTTCTCTCGAAAACGGGCACAAACACATCAAAGAAGTTCTCCTTCCCCTCACTCTTGGTGGGCACGGTGTTGTCAAAGGTGGGATCAATGCTGTCGTAAGCTCTGCGCTTCACGGGGTCTGACAGAATCTCTATAGCTGTGTTCACAGGAAACACACAGGCAATACAACTCAGCCTCAACAACATCTCCCCCTTTTTAAAATAACCTGGAGCCATCAGCAGGATCCACGACAAGCTGCTCTGAAGCAGAGGGAAGCCTCACCTTTAGTGATGCAGGTGAAGTAGTCATTGTCTCCTTCCACAATCTGCTCTCCCGCTGCTTTCCTTTTGTCTGGGTGGTGCTTCAACACCATGGCTTTATCTGGTGGTTAGAGCCATCAAAAAACGCATTAGGTCCAGATGACACACTGTACTCGGCAGTAGGTGGGGAAGTGGTTGAGAACTTCTACTTCTAACCCAATAGTTCCTGCTTCCAGTCCCAAAAGCTTTGCGACCTTTGAGAAGGTATCATATATGAATTTCTTCACTAAAAGTTGTCTGTAAAAACAGATCCCACAATGACAAAAGCAGCTTTGGGAAAAAATAACCATGAACTATACTGGAGCAGTTGTGCTCAGTAAAAAAGGGTTGATAATGTCTCAGCATTTGAACCAAATAGGGCAGAGGTCACCAACAGGCGGACCGCGGGCCGGGTCCGGACCCAGAAGCTGTCCCATACGGACCTGGACCGATCGCCATAACATTAAGTCATTAATTAAAACCTGACGGGACGCTTCTATTTTAACCGGCGAAGCGTTTGTAGTCTTTTCGGTAATGGTTTAGCAGTAGAGCCGCCGTTTCCCACGCCAATGAACGTCAAACACCTTTGATCGCCAAGCAAGACGTAGTTCGGCGTATGCAGCCCTTTGCGCTAATGTGCCGTTAGTGTTAATAGCATCGAAGCTAAAACCACAACCAAAAAGCCGTAATGTTCCTAACAGAGTGACTGGTCTGTTCTGAAATCGTAAAGCTGAACAGTTTTCAAATACAGTATGTATTATATAACATGTTGGATAAATAGACACAGTTTATTGTTGATTTCATGTTCGTTGAAGTTTCTGTTTTTTAACATATTTATAAAGTAATGTTATCTGTTATATAAATAAACTCAGGTGAAACAAAAAATTTACGTTTTTATGGCTGCCAAATCTCAAGCATCTGGCATGACACGCTTTCAGACATGCTAGAAATCTTACGGCAAATCTATATTATTTCATTATAAAACCTAAAATTAGCTACGTCAAAAGTGTATTTACACGGTTAAATACAAAAGCAGACTATTTACAAGGTAAGAACTGTTACATGTGTGCAGACATCTCGAATTGAAAATCTCACTCCAGCCAGCTGGCCGAAGTTCTATGTCACGTGACAATAAATAGTCAAAACATTTTTGAATTGTACTGAATTAATTTGATTTGACAGTCAGGTACTGATTACATGCAATGATGATACAACTAATAGGCTACTTAAATGTAGATCACACTAAATAGTTAGACATTGTCATCTTCCGGACCTTTGCTTCAAGAAGTTCTCTCTAACTGGACCTCTTTAAATTTTAGTTGAATACCCCTGAAATAGGGCAACAATGACCCAGCTAAGGGAGAAGGTACAACACATGAGCAAACAAAAGAGAGAACATTTTTAAACACTCACGAGCAGCTTTGATTTGCCTCTGAGTTGCTTTGTATCTCAAGTGAGCCAATCCAAGCACAGCATAGTGATCTTGATTCTAGGAGAAGAAGGACATTTACCAACCAACACACTCATCAAGTGCATAAAAACACTTAACATCCACCGAATCTTGATACTGGATTTAATTAGGGCTGCCCTAATTTGACGATTTGAATATTCAGTCACAGACATGACAACACAGAGAGGATATAAAAGGGATGATTTCCAATAAGGAGTTTTAAACAAGGGGAATCATGAATACTTATTTATATTCTACCAGGGTACTCGCTGAAAAACATCCATATTAGCAATTATCTGGGCATCAGTGATGCTCGAGTCGACCTCCGAGTCAGGTAAGAGTTAGGGTCAGTGTACCTGAAAATATCAGGGGTATGGGTGAGTTGGGTAAGTGACAAAGCAGCATTCCAACTGAGTTATAAATAACTTACAGAAACTTTGTGTGCAGCCAGCTATGCATTATAGGCTCTTTGAATTGTTTCTACATGAATTGTTTCAGAAATAAGTGACGCTCTGATTACTAATCCATTCAACTTTAATTCAGCTAGAACTTTTGGTGTGAGTTAAACAAAGGCTTCATAAAGAAAACAAGCACTCTCAGGCATATACTCTCATACTGATTTATTGGAAGCATATCAAATGACCGACACATTTTGCCACTAGGCCATCTTCTTACCACCTTGTAGATGGCTTAGTGCAAAACACGTCTATAAAAACCAAACAACCTAAAAGAATAAGTCCTTAATTTAGGGCATTATGTTGAAGCGTTAGAGATAATTGGTCACCGAGATATAATAAATAGATTTCTGTTCACATCTACCTCATATTCACTGTGAATTCAACCACCAGGCTGGTAGGATATTCACAGCCATGGAAGAAGGTAGGATATCACTGTGGTTTCATATAAATGAAGATGTGTGCTTAACTCCTTAAGATGTGTATATTGTGCTGTATATGGCATGTATGGGACAAAAGACCTAAAACAGCAGTAAATCAACAAGTTAAAATAATGAATATAATGTCAAGGTAATTAATTGGTGCTTTAATGTTGCCCTGTGCTATTATGTGACCCTGCACTTGGGGAGGACACACGCAGTTTGCGTTTTTCCAAAAAATATTAGGCTGTTGAATAAAACATAAATCCATGTGTGCAGCCTGTCTCATCATTCCGACAAATCCAGAACATGAACAAAGAAAGAACAAAGTGGAAACGTGCCACAGTGCTGGAGCTGCAGATCCAAATCATCACTGAATCTCATGCCAGTGGGTGTTCTAATTGCTAGATAGTCTATATGGGAGGGACCCCAAATAGTCCAATATTAATGAACAGCTGAATCCAGTCTAGCTGAAAGATTACAGTGATTTCCCATTTCTGTTACTGGAGGGCATGTCAAAGGAAGGCCTTCTCATGCAGAGCGCTACAAATAAGCACTGCACTGCGTGTTTTACTCTAAGCAACAGCACTCCTGACTCCCACTACCTTCCAGTCCTTGGGATCCAGTGTCTTCAGCATGGGATATTCTTCCAACTGCAGCTCCTCATCCTCTGACTCCTCCTCCAGCTCCTCCTCCTCCTCCAGCTCCTGGAAGGAGGCAGACACATTCCTGTCCCTGCGCTTCAGGAAAGCCTCGAACCACCGACCCACCGGCTCCACCTGGAACTGCACAGAGGCTGTAGTTTGGGGCTGCGATTAGAGGGCTGTGTAGGTTGCACAGTGATCATGTAGTCTACATTTAAAACTAATTTATATTTGAATTCTCCCAGGAAGATCAAAACTTAACATCTTTCTAATGTTAAGAATTTTCTGTTGCACAATGCATAAAAAAATCATATACCAAGAGCTGATTTCAAAACTTTTAAATATTAAAGGGATTTTTTATATATAACATTTATTTATGACATTCTGCCTTTCTACATTTTACACGACACAATACAAAAATGAGTTTAAAGTCGCTTAATGGTGAACTATGTACAACAGAGTTAACTGTTCTTTAGGCATGTCAGAACATGACATTGAAAGAAATAATCATACTTGGCATGAACAACGACACTTGTACGTAATTTTACTAATATTTATCCATTTATAACAGCAAGTATACTGGCTAAGACAAAAAAACAATGCTGAGCTCTTGGTTAGCTAGCTAAAATGTCAGTATCAGCAAGATTTCCATGAGACAGTTCTTACCAGCAATGACGTTACAGACAACTGTAACTTGCCCTTCAAGCGCTTCCTTCAACATTTCCAACTTTTTACTCACTCCAAATAATGATCATTCAGATGTGCACCTACAGAAACAAAACGTTTTCAAGAATATTTACTGCCTAAGGCCGGTTTACGTTTACACCACATGGGCCTGCAATAACCAAGCGCCTTGCAGAGAACCGCTTGAGTAACATATTTATTTTTCCGGGCTCGCAATTGCTATTTATCGTCCTTGATTCCCATTAGTTTTTTTTATTCAGGAGAACTGTAAATATTACAAACTAACGAAATTATATAAACAAAAATATATAGTACATAATTACCATGTAGACGTTTTTAAAAAACGCATTTTGTTGTTCTTTTTGTCATTGAGTTATTTATCGGACGCACGTGGGCTGTTAATAGGCTTCCGACACTCACTTCCGGCAAATCCTGGACAACGGAAGTGCTTAAACCTGCTGTGTAATTGTAACTCCTCGGTAGCTACGTGAGACCTGAATCTGTATTTTATTAATTCGAACAGGATTACATTTTCAAAGCGAAACAATGCCTGATTATTTGGGAACTGAACAGCGCAAAGTCAAAGAAGAAGAAAAAGATGATAAACCCATAAGAGGTAAAATAAATCTTACTGATTAGCTAGATTTGGCTAGCAGTTCGATGTTGCCTTTGGGATAGGTTAAACTAATGTGTATATTTTCACATCAGTAATGCTAGTATTTGCATTCTAAAGGCAGCACTATACTAATTTAGTACCTTCCGTCTGGTGTAACTTCTTTAGCTTTGGATGAAGGCGACATCGCTCTCCTGAAGACATATGTAAGTGACATGTTGAATGTACAGCGTTCGTTTCTCTTGTCTAACAATGCTTTTAATCGGTTACTTAAAACTGAATTGTTTTAGTAACCTAATATTTGTAAGTTTATATGTGTTTTGTTTATGATTTTCTGCAGGGTCAAAGTACGTATTCTAGACAGATCAAGCAAGTGGAAGATGACATTCAGCAACTCCTCAAGAAAATCAACGAACTCACTGGTAACTGCGCATTTTGAAGCCTATAGAATCTTTAATGCACAATGAAGTTGCTATTGTTAAGGAGACCTGCTGAAAGTTTAATACATTTATTGTTTATTTTTCAGGCATTAAAGAGTCAGACACGGGATTGGCCCCTCCAGCCCTTTGGGATTTGGCTGCAGATAAGCAGACCCTGCAGAGTGAACAGCCCTTACAGGTGGCCAGGTATGACTGATCAGAGTACAGGGGTACATTTATGCTTAGGCCTCCCAGCAAACATCAGGGGCCCTCCCTGCCTCAAGAAACATGGAACACTTGATTAAATTAGCAACATCTGAGTCTCTAACCTATCTGGAGGCTCTAGCATAATCTGCCATGGTGCAGATGTACCGGTAGCCATTGTAAATATACTGCTTTGACTGTTGAAGTGCACATTTCAAGACCTGAAATGGCTGTTGTTATGGCACCTGTAAATTTTGAATTGAAATTGTTCTCCCATTCTTCTTATTGATAGGTGCACCAAGATCATCAATGCTGATTCTGAAGATCCAAAGTACATAATCAATGTGAAGCAGTTTGCTAAGTTTGTGGTGGACTTGAGTGACCAGGTTGCTCCCACTGACATTGAAGAAGGAATGAGAGTTGGGTGAGATTGAGGTTTTTTATGTCTGTGCTTAAAAACATCCTCTGTAAATCACAGGATTAAGGTAAATACTGGTGTGCCTCTTCTGAGAATACTTAGGTATCGCTGGTTTGACTTTGTGTCGAACGAGCGGTTGCTAGGGGAGTCCTGAATTAGGCATATTACCTGCATTGTGAGGGAGTGTCAGTTACGGCACTACGGCCATGTGGCGCATTTCCCTGAGGATGGTCCGGCTCGCAGGATCCTCATTGCTGAGGACCTGAGCAGCTGGACCAGGCCGAGGGGACGCCCACGTAACACCCGGCTGCGGCAGGTACACATTTCTGGAGGGTGGGACTGGACCGCATGTCGGCCTGGGGGTTCACCAACTGGGATCCTGAGGTGTACCAGTGCATGCTCCCCGACCTGACCTGACCAATTAACTGTATCACTTGTGATTGGGCAGTGTGTGCTGCATTAAGCAAGGCAAGTTTATTCATATAGCACCTTTTGTACACTGAGTTAATTCAAAGTGCTTTACATATAAGCAAAAATACAGAATGCAAAGAGAATTCTAATTTAAAATGTATAGAATAGAAATTTTAAACATGATGAAAACAATAGATTAAAAAGAAGCAAAGAAAAAATGTTTTTATCATTTGTGTGAATTTAACTTTCAGGGTTGACAGAAACAAGTACCAGATTCACATTCCTCTTCCTCCCAAAATTGACCCAACTGTCACCATGATGCAGGTGAGAGTTCAGCGAAGGCCTCTCCTTATGTACTGCAGGCCTGCATGCTGCGCTTCATGTCAGGAAGTCCTTTCATTGTGCGCCGTAGGAAAAGCGTCCATGCATGAGGTATCAATTTACAATGAGTTGTTGTCTTTCAGGTGGATGAGAAACCAGATGTGACCTATAGCGACGTTGGTGGGTGCAAAGAGCAGATTGAGAAGCTGAGGGAGGTGGTTGAGACACCATTGCTCTATGTATGTATTCTAGTATCTCTGTATGGTTGGGCTGAAAGACAGCATGTAGGCACCATTTTAAAGACTGAGCTTCCAGTGTAGAGAGGACCGTTGCTGGGTTTATTCTATTTCTGTAAATACATAAATTGAATGTATTTTCGGATTTGCTGTATACATTGCCTTTGTTCGCCAAATGTTTCTGGTCTCTCTTCCTTCAGCCTGAACGATTTGTCAACCTGGGCATTGAGCCGCCCAAAGGCGTCCTGCTTTTCGGCCCCCCAGGCACAGGCAAGACGCTGTGTGCCCGGGCTGTGGCCAACCGCACAGATGCCTGCTTCATCCGCGTCATTGGCTCTGAGCTGGTGCAGAAGTATGTGGGAGAGGTAAGCAGGGCTCACCACAGGGTCAGGCAACCCAGAAAGATGTGAAGTGGTGGGCTTGCTTTCCCCTGACTGATGTCTGTTTGATATTTGGCACTAGGGCGCAAGAATGGTGCGTGAGTTGTTCGAGATGGCCAGAACCAAGAAGGCTTGCCTCATTTTCTTTGATGAAATTGATGCCATTGGAGGTGTGTTTGTTTTCACCAGGTGTACATGAAACATACAAGTAGGGTAGGCTAATAACCTTAGCTGTCAAAGACTTTTTATTTTTACATATTATATATATATATATATATATATATATATATATATATATATATATCTACCTATCTATCTTAGGGCTGTCAAAATTAACGGGTTAACGCGGATTAATCCATCATCATGATTAATCTGATTAAAATTTTTAACGCAATTAACCCATCTGCAGCGCAGAATGATTCAAAATCCCTGAAATGTCTCTGTCAACCCATTTCGGGCAGTTTTAGTGCGTTCCATTTGCCCTCGGAACTCGTATTACGAGTCGGATTCCGTAGTTTTGAAGCCGGAAGTGACGACATGCGCTCCCGTTTCTCAGAGATCCGAGAAATATCTCGGAGCAGCACAGAGGATCCCGAGTTCAAGATCCAAGATGGTTGCGCCTTTTATCAACAGAAGGGAAAGTTGTAGTTTTACTGTTTAAGCACTACTTCTCATTTGTGGCTCATTAAATCGGTCGCACACGCTATACTGTCCAAGTTATCTGTGGATGTGTTGCTACGGAGTTTCATATGTAAAGCAACGCACGTAAACTGATATTGCAAACAATGGCAATTAACCGGGCTAGAATTTTACTTCATGATTAGTTGGATTATTTGTCGGATTTACGGTAGTTTGTGCTAATTCTAAGCGAACGAAGATAAAGACCATTTAAACTGAGGTACCTTAAATCCAACAAGTTGTCCGGCTAAGCAAAAAATCTTGCTTTTTGATATGGGTCCATGGTATTGCACTTCTGTGGCAGATGGAATGCATCCGACTCATGTTCAAGATGTTCAATAAACATGTTAAGTGCATATATATTCCCTTTTTTCTTGAGTCGGTTTGCTCATGCAAAATTAAATGTGATTAATATAGATTAAAAATGAATGATATTTAATCGTGATTAATCGAAATTAATCCACAGCAACCCTGTGATTAATCTGATTTAAAATTTTAATCGTTAATTGTGTGTGTGCGTGTGCATATGGTCCAAGTCCAATTTCCCCATAAGAAAAAATGTATATGAACTTAATTCATTCCAGACCCCCCGAAGCGAGAGCAGACACACGTGCACCACCTTCGAGTCTTGCTATAATTTCCTTTTTAAGTTGTATAGTTACTCTGACCTAGGGCTTGGCGATATCGCATTGATACATCGCACATGCGCAGTAATCACCACTCATTCATCCTGGTTATAAAGACATTTAATTGAGAAAGATGCTTCTTCCTGAACATGTTTTAAGGATTGAGTGTCTTCCCAAGGGGCCCGTTTTGACGATGGCGCTGGTGGAGACAACGAGGTCCAGAGGACCATGTTGGAGCTCATCAACCAGCTAGATGGCTTTGACCCAAGGGGCAATATTAAAGTCCTGATGGCGACCAACCGACCCGACACATTGGATCCAGCCCTGATGAGACCTGGCCGATTGGATCGGAAGATCGAGTTCAGCTTGCCCGATTTGGAGGTGTGACCACAGATCCACTGACCCTTTCATAGGTTGAGCACTTGTCTATATGGCAGAAGGTATACTGAGTTTCCATTGTGTGCAAGTAAAGCCATGATGTTTGTGTTATAGGGTCGCACACACATCTTTAAGATCCACGCCCGCTCCATGAGTGTCGAGAGGGACATCCGCTTTGAGCTGCTGGCTCGCCTCTGCCCCAACAGCACAGGTGAGGTTTGCTCAGAACAGCCCCTCATGTTGCTTTGGCACCGTCTGTACTTGGATTTAGCTGCTGTGGTTCAGGCAAATTGCCCTACCATGAACATTCAAAGTGAGGCGAGGCAAGGTCATGTGATGCCATTAGGTTCTGAGGACGTGTCTGATTGGCTGTTGGTGCTTTTGCAGGTGCGGAGATCCGCAGCGTCTGCACGGAGGCAGGCATGTTTGCCATCCGGGCCCGCAGGAAAATCGCCACAGAGAAGGACTTCCTGGAAGCTGTGAACAAGGTCATCAAGTCCTACGCGAAGTTCAGCGCCACCCCAAGATATATGACCTACAACTGAACAACGTGTGTCTTTTTTTTTTTTTTGTCACTTGGTTTTGGGTAGCTTCTGTAGTGTGTCCACGAAGCCCGGTGGGAAAGAATGTATAAATATCACTGAAATAAAAAAGCAGAGTCCTACAGATTTTGAAAAATAACTTCTCCAAAATCAATGTTTTTTTCTGCAACATAGAACTTAGGGTTAAACTGGCTCAATAAATGTAATTCCAGATTGCATATTAACTCTTGTGCTGGAAGTAACATCACAGTATGGAAAATGAAAGCATTGTGCAATTTGAGATTTTATTAGTGGCAGGAATTGTGTGCAAACACATATGCAGATGTACATCTGTCACAGTACAGCGTACGTGATAAACGTGAACACTAAATGCTTACAGCCACATATACTCAATACACACTGCCTGCTGCTGGTGACAATGATACTTGCAGTGGGGATACATTACATATGCTACCCTCTACCATAGGAAGCCAGACTGAGAATAAAGGCGCATAACCATTTAACATCCCTTACCTGTGATGGGGGGTAATGGCAGTATCTGTGCTGATTCAAAGCTGATGTGATTTAAAAAATTTTAATGGTGTTTAAAGGGTGCACTTATTTTCTAAAATATACTTTAATGCATTTGGTTACACAAAAATATTTGGCATAATCATCTGAAATTTCACCACATCACCAAAACAAACTTCTAAATAGTAAATGTACAATATGCGGTGATTTTGGCCATTTAACAATTTTTAGAGGGTCTTCCCATGTATAACAAAAATGACACCTATTTAGAATGAAACGGACACGGACTCTGGCTACGGTCAAACTTTTGTAGGCTTGAGTAAAATGTCCAGATTAGTCAAGGCCCAGAAATCCCAACAGGTAACAGACTCGCATAACAGTAACTGCATGAAAGATTAGCTTCACCTGAAGGTTTGTTGATATACAGCACAGTCACATATATATATATACACATTTATATCCTCAGTGTAGATTACAGTGTTAAATACAAAATCATTCTTTTATAACAATGGTCTAATATTTTAAAATCATTGTTGATTCCAAAAATTTGGCCTCCACATGCTTTTTTGCTGTCATACTGAGTAATAAGTTCAGCAGGACAATGTTGCCTTGGTTCCTTGTCATCCAGATGAAACTGCAGTGAGCCACAGAAGACGGTAACAGTGAATGTGAAACAAGTTCACGACAAACATAAAGTCAGCCGGACACAATTCAAACACAGATATAATCTCTCATTTAACTTAAAAGAAGGTGTTCAAGCTGCCCTGGCTAATACAATCATTTCATCTGTATAAAAAGCTCTAGAGGATCCCAACCCTCAACCGGATCCTGTGCCGTGTTGTAAAATAATCCCTGAAAATATGCAATTTATCCCATATTTCTGTACAAATTGTATTCTTTCTCCCATTTTCTAATGGTATAATCAGGAAAGCCCCAAGAAATTTCACTGCCGGCACCTCCCGGCTCTGCGAAAAATTTGTACGACAAACTGGTCCTCGGATATCAAGAAGTTGGGAACCCCACCTCAGTAACATTTAGAAATCATGCACATCAGGACCTGTGCTGTGTAAACAAAGAGGGAAGTGACAGAAATGAGAGTAGGAGAACCAAATCATTACTCAGCAATGACCGATGTCGCTGACATTGCAGCATCCAGCATTGAAAAATACCCCCAGTACCAAGCAGGTGGTCCCAGGTCTTAGTCAGCAGCAGACCGGCTTTAACCTGCCTATTAGTGCCTCTTACTGGATGGCAGTTGCACTGCTTGTAATTCTCAGGTTTCACATTAAAAGTCAGACTAGTGCAATATGTTGAATATGAGTACAATACAACATTTCAGCGTAATGGAACCGAATGGTTCACTCTTATCGGTGCAGCTGTAGCTGGACAAACTCACTCACCACCGGGAGGCATAAAACTTGCGTAACTACAAGGTGGACACTGAGTACCATTCGGCACACTTCTTCTCAGTTAACCACACTGTGTCTGACATTAATCCTTTCGGAATGACTGTCGTTATAAATCTCATTTGAAAAAAATATGTTGTTTAAAAGTTTAAGCTTTTACAAGCTCCCACTGTGAAACGCATCCATAGCCCCTGTACTTGCGTCCCCTTGAGATGAAGTGGCAGCTTTAAATAACCGTCTCCAGGATCTCCAATGGAATGGCAGCTAGCAGAAGCGAAGCTGTGCCTGGCAGGAGCCGCAACACGTCCATCCTTGGCATTTTGTCCTATATTTCCTATTTAATCAGTGCACTGTGACACAAATGCGCCCCCCCCCCCCCCCCATCCCCGGGGGAATCACTGGACTGGGGAGTCATTGTATCCCATAGCGCTGTTGGGGCGCCATCTGGTGTTGACAGTGCAATACAGCGTCGTGGACAGATGGGAACAGCAGCTCTGTGGTCACAGCTCTGTCGAAAAACTTGAGGGCGCGAAGGTCGGCCAGTAGGGGGCCTGTCGACAAAGAGTACAGGCAATCAAACCAGGATATCAGCTGGATATCAGCATGGGTCCCGAAAAGTGATATGATCACACACTGGGACCGTGCACTGAGGGGCTGAACAATTACAATAATGACAATTAGAACCTTTATTTTTCACTAGTGCAATCGTATACACATAGACCACTTACCACTGCAGCCAGCGATAAACACCTCAACACCGACCTCTGCGTATTCCTTCATCACCTGCAGAAAAACGATACATCGTTAGAGTTATGAAAACACGCTTTAGCGACGAGCACATGCCATGGACAGTACAGTGACGCTTACAGCCTTGATGGCCTTGGCTCCAACTGAGTCGACAAAGCTGACGGGCGTGAAGTCCAGGATGATGGCCCGTACTGGGCCCAGTGCCCCTAGGAAGCTGCTGCTCTCTTCCCAGTCCGACTCAGCGGCGCCCTCCACCAGCTGCCCGTTCTCTTGCGGCTCTGGCCCGTCCATGTCCAGCACCTCCTGAGTGATACCCGTCTCTATGTTCTATTGGTCAAAAGGCAGCTCTGAAGACCCGCCTCTCTGATATGGTACATGCATACAGACCAGATCGATCGCTCAGCTGCTGGGGGCTCACCAGCTTAACCACAGAGTCCCTTATCGGGGGCCCTGTATGGTCCTGTGCATCCCTCTCTTTCCGCTGTTTCTTCTGCCGGCAGGATTTATATATCGCCTGCATAACACTTGGATCAACCCCCGTCTGCCAGGAACATGGAAGCCACATAAACGTATATAGTAAACATACAGTACATTGTGTGGCTAATCTAATGTCTGTATGAGTGGATGTGTCACGCAGGTTAAGTGCACTTACAGGTTTGAGGGCCACTGCTAGTACACCAACTAATATCATCCAGGGGACATTTCTGACACCTTAAACACCAAGTGACCTGCTCCCTCCTTTGTACACCAAGCCGGTTGTCCCCTCCTTTGTACACCAAATGACCTGTCCCCTCCTTTGTACACCAAATGACCTGCTCCCTCCTTTGTACACCAAGTGACCTGCTCCCTCCTTTGTACACCAAGTGACCTGCTCCCTCCTTTGTACACC